GGTGTGAATGGGAAGAAGGAGAGAAGATAGTGATTTTTGCAGGAGGTGGGCCCCACATTTTTTTTTTGTTGGCTGAAATCTGACGTGTTTTAATGACATGGTATTGATCTGTAATAATTTTTGACATGTCATCATTTTCCGTTAGTTAACTGGACACATCATTGAATTTTTAACGGAAGGACCAAATCGGGGTAAAAATGGTAAACAGTAGGACCAAATCAGGGATTTTTTGAGTTCAGGGACCAAATCGGGAGTCTGTACAATAGTTGAGGGACCAAAAAGAGGTTTTAACCTTCAATTTTTTATCTGTTGGAAACTCTTTCAAAAGTCATTTGGTTTAATTTAAATTCCAACTGACGTGTTTCCTTGCTTTCCAAAGTTATCCACTCTCTTTAGAAACTTATTAGAATTTTATCTCTGATTTCTGACGTAAATGGTTCAAACCACATTTATATAATTGGAATCAAAATTGTAACTTTCCTGATTCTAGTTTTACATAAATGGTTCAAATCATCATAATTATATGGTTCAAACCAAAGTTATAGTTTCTCAAATGCATTATATGCAATTGCTTCAAACCAACTTTCTGTGATTCGAACCCAAATCTTGGAAATATTTTGAAAATTCTTCAACATTCCCCTACCATTTTCAAAATAGATCAGCCCACCAATTGTTTTGGACATCTTATGCATACATGAAGGTATCTTATGATTTGAACCTTTCACTTAGTGAATATGTGTTGGCAAATTAGTCAAAATTGCATGGTAGACTAATGCTTTGAACCAACGATTCTAAGTGACTAATTGGGTACATGCCAGACACAAGACTTCAAGCTTTCCAAAGAAAGAATTTAGCATCCACCGACACAAAAACTGGCCATGTGCCTTGTATCCTTTTCATGAATGCTGTTAGAGTCAAGTCCTTGACTCCTAGAAACGACATCACTTCCACTCATATAGGTAGATCTCATCAAAAGTGCCACCGCATTAAACACTTTAACAAAAATCTGTTATAAGACCTATTAAGAGTAAAACTCATCCTCCTTTTTGTTTTATGTTGTTACCAAGTACTCTTCCACTTGGGATGGTATTATTGATAAATTGAGTACTTGCAGTCGCATTCATATGATGTACTTTACTCATTGAACTTAAGACTTGAAGTTTTTATCAAGTGTTAAGTCGAGGTTCCATCATGTGTGACTTTTGTCAATATGGACTTGAGACCCATCCCTCTCTTTGTCTTGTGAATTTTCCTTTGATAATCATTTTAATCAAGGGTTCATGAAGTTAATTCACACAAGACCTTGCAAAGATTATAATGATCACCTCATTTAAGAATTGATTATTTCCATGTCCACATTTTATGACAACAAGTCTACTGTCATATAGACTTCTTTATAAGCACTTGATGACATCCTATTATTTTTAGTCATCATTCACATTCATATAAGAATGTCTTAGAATAATAACTCTTGAAAAGTGTAGACATCTCCAAGAACAAGTGTTATCACTTTTAGACAGTGCCATATAACTTTGTAATATCATGAACAAGTGGAATTCTTGCTTCCCCCACTTCAAATTAAATTTTATTTGCTTTTCATGTGTCAAGGACTTTTAGTCCTTATTCCTCACTTTTGGGATTGTTCCCACTATTTTAAATGACATTAATATTTCTCATGAGAGACATATCAGGATAAATTCTAATTTATCAAAAATTGTTCAATTCATATAAATACGAGTCGAACCAAGTTCCTAATACTTTCTGAGTTTCCTCCGTAATTGTTTCAAATCAGCTTTAAGTGATTTGAACCAAAATTATGGAACAACTCAAATCATTATATTTATTTTCCATGACCAAGAGCTATTCACTCTTGCTGTTTATAGGATTCTTTAAATCCATATTTCTTTATCTTTTGGACCATTGTTCAGGCTTCCAAAAATCAATCAAGTTCATAAGGTTACACTAGTCTCTACAAATTATCTCATTAAGAGATAACATCTAAACAAGGATTCAAAATCCTTCATGCCTTATCAAAATTGAGAGCCTTTTTACTTGGCCTCTTTTCTCTTAGTTTATATTAAGACCTTACTTTATATTAAGACCATCAGTTGGATCTTCATATGGGTTTGCCAAATCCCATTTCAATATTTCTTTCTTTAACATGGCAAAGTAGCCATCATGAGACTTGATTCTCACTTGTTTCAAATCTACATATACTGATATATAACCTTACAAGCATAAATAAGAGGCATCAAAAGTAACAAGTAGACATATGCTTTAATTAACCTTTCATTAATGAAACATGATCAAATTTAGCCTCTTATATTTCCACAAGCCTCATATTAAAAACAGTAAGCATGTTTAACACATGTACAAAACTCAATGATTTTAACTAAAACTGTCATATACATAAACATGTTTATAACATAATCCAAGTAAAGGAAATCTCATTGACTTTAATAAGCCTTAAGCAAACCTTAATAGGTCATGTCTAGAAGTAAGATATACTTCTTAAACTCCATAAAGCTTCAAAAGTATTCACCAAAAAACAGTAAATAATCATTATTAAATGAAAAGAAAAATAGAACTTCATTTGTATCACATTAGTAATCTCAAAATCAAGGCACAATCATGATCTCAAAACATGATCATATTCAAATCCATAAATATCTTCCTTCTCATAGCTAAGAACCATGCTATTAAGCCTAAGATTTATTTAATCTCCAAATGGGATTTAAAGACCCATTTGATTTCTCTTGCCTCATTGTGCCAAATGACTTTTAATTATGAATCTTTACACTGTCATTTGCATCTTTGATAACTTTTTTGAAGCCATTCTCTAGGAGATGTTTTCTCCTCGTATATAATTAGTTAAACATTAACAAGAGAACTATCACCCATGCATGAATAGCCCATGATATAAATGGTGCATGTGCCAAAACTCAAAAAAATTCATGATTTAAGAAACTGTAATATCAATTTCTTACTAATTTCATAATATATTATTTTATTATATCATTTTACTGGTTTTCGTACCTATTTTGATATTGCAGTGAATCTCGATTCATCTCTCTGTTTCATATCCTCTCTAGGCTTAGAAATTTCAATTGCTTCCTTCATGAACATAATCATGTCTCCATTGTTTCATCTTTCATGAAAATAGATTTCCTTTGCTTTATTGTGAAACATCCAGCAACCATCGCCTTATCTATGATTGATCACCATTTTTATGGTTGATGTATCACCATTTTTGCACATGATTTAAAGCGCCAGAAATCCATTTGGTTTTGCCACTATTGCTTGCCATATCTCCTTGGCTTCACATGCATTTTAATGCAAGTTTCTTCTTAATTATCTAATAAGCCATGATCTCAAAAAACTCAGAAATTAGCCTAAAGATTGTTGGAGAAATAAGGGGTTAGAAAATAGATCATTAGATTATTGGCTTCAAGGCGTGCTGCAAATATCATTTTCCTTTAGGCTAATTTCGCCCCCACCAGATCTGGTATGCAAAATGAGTAACCCAAAATGTCCATAGGATACAATGAAACGCCTTGTTGATCTAGCCTTTGCGCTAGCAAGATCAACCACTGAATCATCCTTTGGAAAGCGATAAAACAATAGTTTTTGTATAGGGATTTCTCGAGCAATTGCGATACAAAAAGGGACTGTTTTATTTAGATATTTCTAAGTTCAAAAAGACTCTCTAAAGAAGAAGAGATAACTCCATATTTATAGAGCAAGATGTCTGTTGGAATAGACACTCTTTTTTAGGATGTCTGTTGGAATAGACACTCTTTTTCAGGACGTCTGTTGGGAACAAACACTTCTTTTCAATTTTTTATCCGTTGGAAACTCTTCCAAAAGTCATTTGGTTTGATTTGAATTCCAACTGATGTGTTTCTTTGCCGTCCAAAGTTATTCACTCTCTTCAAAAACTTATCAGAATTCTATCTTTGATTTCTAACGTAAATGGTTTGAACCACATTTATATAATTTGAATCAAAATCGTAACTTTTTGGATTCTGGTTTTACGTAGATTATTCAAATCATAATTATATAATTCGAACCAAAGTTACAGTTTCTCAAATGCATTCTGTGCAATTGATTTGAATCAACTTTCTGTGGTTTGAACCCAAATCCTAGAAATATTTTGAAAATTCTTCAACACATTCGTCTGCTATGATGCTGTGATTACGGCTTACTTTCAGCCTCACAAGATTAAGAACCTGATAGGAGTCAAAGCCAGGGAGTTCTTGATTTGGATCAATTTGACTAAAATTTGTGTGGAGGAAGAAGATGATTCTCAAGCTGGGTTCATCACATTGAAGACACTTGTTGGTTTGTCCAGGTTTTTTCCACTGTCTTTGTAAGGAGCTCGGACAGCGGATTTCCAAGATGAAGTTGATGGATCAAAGGAGGAAAACTGGTGCAGAGCAGGGAATTAAAGATGTAAATGAACGACAAATTTTCATTTGTTCAATTTCTTGTGGTTTTTTTTTTCCTGATCCTGTAAATGTGAAATTTTTTCTGAAATCAAAGGATATCCAGTTGTCCACGATCTGGTAATG